CAATATAACCCTGCAATTTTTTTCCTGTGTAAAACTTTGATCCCTGTTGTAACCCCCACTACCCTACCCTCATGAGTTATGACTTAAATGGATGTAGTCAAACCCTACTCCTGATAGAGTCATGATTTGAGCAAACTTGAATCTTCACTACCATACGATACTTCCTTAGCAATCTGACTAAACAGAGCTTTGTTCTTCTAACGAAAAATATTGTTTTCCTAGTATACATCTTAAAGTAAAATTCTATTACTGAATTGTGGTCCAACACTATGATAGGCTATCCCCCAAATAATTATTTGAACAAATTGTCATTTGTCAAGTTAAACTTCATACTGTATACAGGGAAATTTTCGCCCCAGTCTTATTTTCGCCCCTTTCGCCCTCTTCTTGATTGGGCGAATTTAAAACTGGGCGAATTCAAATTACACAGCTTAATTTCTTAAATAGAACTATCAATGGGCGATTTTAAAACGGGGCAAAATTGTTTGCAAGTGCAAAAGGGCGAAAATTACACGGGGCGAAAATAACCCTGTATACGGTATCTTGTTGTGTAAGTAAACACAAAACAGCAGAATTATTATGCCAATGTGGTATAGATCAATGAAGAATATAAAAAATCCAGATTTCTCAAACTCTCCATCTCTTTTTAAAATATATCAACTCTTCTATTTTTATTTTGAGTCCCTATTCCTATGCATTGCATACTTTTTCTTTAAAAAAAGAAGCAGGTGACTTTAACTCATTCCAACTTTGTTTACACAAAGTTTTTGACGCCTAGTCAGTTTGTACATCCATTTACCTCCTGCCTTTGTTGAACAGTTGATAACCTCACTGTGATCACTAAATTTTTGTTTTTCCTCTGCATCATTAATTGTCCGCACAGCGAAATTATACATTTCCTCTGAAAAAAAAATTTAATGACATAAATTCAATCTAATTCTTCAAGAAACTAGAAAACTGACCAGTCAACAGGGGTCCCGCTGAGGGGTAGAATTATAAGGGTGCAGCTTATGGAATGAGTTTTAATCCATTACAAAAAAAAATAGATATGATGAATATAAGCTAAAATGTATTGTTAAAAAAAATCAAGATAATTCGTAAATGTAAAAGAATATCTAAATAGTAACTTTGTACCTACATAAAATTGGTAAAACTTTCTATCTTATAATAATCCAATTAAATGTGTATTTAAAAGGATGTGTTTTATTAAAATGCTAACGTTCAGTGAATGCAAGTACAATGTATCATCCAGGGTTGATCTAAACTTCAAAACAAACATCAGTTGCAGACAAAGATGTTTAATATTTATCAATCTTGCGACAGATAAAAATAAGCCCGTACTTTTTCTGCAGCAAGCAATTAATCCCAGGAGAATCATTTTACTGCTCTCTTTTCTTCTAAAGCTATAATAAGAACTTTATTCAGCAATTACAGAATCAGAATATTATCTGATACTTGTTGAAATTAGTATCACTAAAGCAGTAAAAAAATAATGATAAAATAACTCATTATGTACAGTATTTAAGAAGATTTTTATTGAACCACCCTATTTTTGTCTTTTCTTCATTATCTCCCCTTGTGACTGGTCTTGGCCCATCATTTAAACAATTTAAATTCCCTTTCACTTATGAATGCTTTGTACCAAGTTTGGTTTAAATTAGCCCAGTTGTTCTTGAGAAGTCAAAAATGTGAAAAGTTAATAGGCGGACGGACGGACAGCTAGACAGCTAGACGGACGGACAACGGACAAAATGTGATCAGAAAAGCTCACTTGAGCCTTCGTCTCAGGTGAGCTAAAACCGAAATACCTTCACTTAACCCTATGACATTGTAATTTGTCACATTGTTTGTTGTGTTGATAGTAAGACCTCCAGGATTTACGTGAATCTGGTACATCACAATTTGACCATTAGGGTTGATAGGAGGCTCCCAAGATATTTCTAAAGAGATGTCCTTTGGATGTTGTGGACAACAAACATTTATAGGTGGATCTGGTTCTAAGGAAGAGAAAGATATATGAGAAATATAAACAAGGGCAGATGATAACATACCCCATTATTCTATTGAGTCAAATGAATATAATATTTGTTTACCTTAGTCCCAACAAAATTTTAATTTTTATTTTCATCAGAATTGTTAGCAGCAAAAATCCAAATCTTACTTGTTGGGGTAATTCTAATTGTCTCTTTGTATCTTGTGCTCCTCTTGTCGCCAGTTAGTTCACTTGATGAACCACTGATTGTCACAATACTCACAACATAGTATTTCCCAGGGGTTAATATTTTATTAAATAGGAGCATTGGATTATTATTCACAGTTGTTTGGCTTTCACCATCAATCATCACTTCATATTTTGTAACGAAGGTATTGGATGGAGGAGTCCACTTTAAGGTGAGGCTGTCGTGAGCTAAAGAACTTTCACTATGTAATATAGGACCAGGTGGACGTGGATCTGACAAAAAAAAACATAAATCAGAATTTATGGATTTTAGATTCGCTAACATCAATCGTCAGACATTACACAGCTCACCTCAATTAATGTTGTCTTTTGTAAGAAGACCAGTAAAAATCCTAAATTAAACTAATAATCAACTAGTGTAGTTCTGATCTTATAGGGCTTGCAATCACTTGGAAACAAACTTATCCTGAACTTTTTAACTAGTCATTCATCAGAAAATGTTACTCAAATCAAGCATCTTAGAAATAGCAATAAACCTTACTCTGTTCATTCATCTAGAAAATGCAGGTCAGACCTAGCATCCAAAGCAAGCCTGAAAGTGTGAATCCTTAGATGTAACATCCATATACAAGTTTGGTCACGATAAGGCTTACAGTTACTTAGATATTAGACATTCACAAAAAAAACTTTAACATGCACCAGAAATTTAAACTTGCTCTTTGTTGAAATTGCAGCATCTGAAATATTATCTTGTACAAAGAAACACACTAGAAGCATCTTACATACATCTCTGATCAATATAGGGCATAAAAAGACTTACCCAAATGAAAAAGAAATCTAACAAAATACTTTTAAAATATCTTCAAAACCCTACCAAAACATACTTTTGTTTGTACGTTGTGAAAGTGTTGCATTTAACGAAACATCATTGCAACACTTTATAGGATTGGGATGGCATGGTATTTTGTTAATGTTTCATTACAATGTTGGTGTTTTATTAATGTTTCTTTACACTCTGCAGAATGACATTGCATTTTGAAAGTATTTCGTTACACTTGTGTGCATCCAAGTAATATTTTGTTAGCATTTCATTTGATTAACAGACATGTTTAGGGTTGAATTATCTAAGAGTAGTAAAAGCTTCCAAGAACAACTTATCTATTTACATCCTGTGTTAGACTAGTATTTGCGCCAATTTTCAAACCACCAGCACTATAGGTCAGAGAGAAACAAAGAGATTGGTGAAGGGACATGCAAAGTTTTAGATAATATTATTGATCCCTGATTGGAAAAAGCAAAATCAGGATGAATCTGGATATAAAAGAGGTATTTATTATTGCAAGTCATAAAGTTATAATTCTTTTTTACTGGAGTACAATATAACCTTCAATCTGTGAATGTGAATGTGTATATATGGCCTGTTTTTATTGGGTTTTGATTTATTTTAAGATTGTCCTTTAATCCATAAAATAGCTAGCTTAGATCAGTTTTAAGCTTTGGATTAAGTGATATGAATTAATTATAATACTTGAAAATTCTGTGAAAATGTATGTGATTGGAAAAGTCAATCCTTGAATTCAAAATACTGTGAAACAAGAAGTGTTTATAATGTATCAAAATGAGATTGTGTTTAGGTTGTGTTTAGATGTTTTCAAAGACTTGCATGTGGATTATAATTTTAAAATTCAAATTTAGTGGTTTATTGATGATTTGTTACTTATGATTTGTTAATAGTTTGTTAGAGTGTTTTGTTAGCCTCATTTGCATGTGATTTGCTATACTATCGGAATACTTTCAAATATTCCAAAGTGTCGATTACAAACTTATAAGTCTACGTTTATTCCTACTGTAGTTAACGAATGGAACTCCATTCCACTTGAAACTCGAAATTTACAGTCAATGTCAAAATTCAAATCTAAAATTAGTAATAAAAAATCTAGATCTGCCCCACCTTCTTACTTTGATTACGGTAACAGAAGACTTAATGTTCTTCAAACCAGACTACGACATAATTGTGTATTAAATAATGACCTTTATAGATGCAATTTAATATCAAGTCCCTTGTGCACATGCGGTAAAGTTGAGGACACATATCATTATTTTTTCGTATGTCCATTTAAGTATGCGAACGCCAGAAATGAATTTTTAAATAATTTTTTACAATTTGATAAAATCCACATACTAGATACTCATGTCTTATTATGGGGGGTTGAATCACTGAGTGCTGCAGAGAATGAACGTCTCTTTTCTTTTGTTCAAACATTTATTAAGCATTCTGGTAGATTTCCTTGTTAATTACTGTACCTATATATTAATATATGAATTTGTTCAACTTTTATATATTTATACATATATGCAAAATGCATCAATTTGTTTACTTTTGCAAATTCTGAATCCTTTATATAGCATGTTTAACTGTGACAATATCAATGTGTAATTTACATGTATAGGGAGAGGGTGTTATAAGTATTCAGTACTTGTGCTCAATCCCTTTGTAATTATATTACAATAAAATATGTTCAAATCAATACTTTCAAAACACAGTGTTTTGTAAGTAGTTTGTTAGAGTGTTTCATAAGTAGTTTGTTAGAGTGTTTTCAAAGTAATTTGTTATAGTGTTTTGTTAGCTCATTTGCATGTGATTTGCTATACTATCGGAATACTTTCAAAACACAGTGTTTTGTAAGTAGTTTGTTATAGTATTTTGTTTCCCCCTTTTTTTCATTTGGGTAAAGAGAAAACTGCATCAAAACTTTAGGTTGGGATGTCGACGCCAATGCTGAGGCTTTCACATAAGCTTCAACTTCATTAGGGTGAGCTAAAACTAGTTAAAATGGTTAAAGTTATATATAGGGTATTCATATATTCAATGAAATGAATCTACAAACCTAATCTCACTTTTTCCTCCTGTGATTGTATAGTTATGGTTTCCTCTGGATCTGTTAGCCTGACAACAGCAGATACAGTGAAAATATACAGCTGACCAGACATTAGGCCTGAGTTGACAATGATGCTGTTCTTCCCCCTATCCACTGTTTGTTCAGATGTAGAACCACCATTCTGCCTCCAGGAGACCTTATAACTGATGACAAGGTCGTAATCCACAGAGGGATGGCTCCAAAATACAGAGAACTGTGATGTTGTACTGTTGATGACGCTTATATAGGGAGTTAGACGAGTTCCTGATATTTAAGAATCAAAATAGACAAGGATTGGAGAAGTCCAATCAAGGTCCCTTAGTTGATCTTAAGGGGACGAAGGATGTATGGTCACATGACTCAGTTTATTTACGTCATAATCTCTGATCAAATATGTACAAAACCAGATAGAAATGACAGTATTTGTAAAAAGAAATTTACTGTTTGTTTGAGTTTACCATCTTGTATAAAAATATCTAAAAACGTTCAAACTTTCTTGCAACTACTATCAAATTACGGAATAGATTGATCCACTCTTCTGTTTCCCTCTGCGCTTCCAACGGGTCGTTGACGTCATATTGGAATTCTTAACACAGTTAGATTACACGCGGTAAAACACGGATATTATAATATCATAAAAATCGGGTTCTGATCAGTACACGGTTGGATATTTTGTGAATTACAGAACACAAAAAATATTTTTACTGGGTTGTTGACAGAAATATTTGTAGTTATGTCTTATTTCGCTTATTTCGCAAATGTGTGACGTCACAGTTGGGTTTTCTCGTACTCGAGAAATGTAAACATGACACGTTTTTCCCATGCTCATGTTTTGTTTAACTATGCCCTGTGCAATATTGAGCTCAGATTCATCAATCAATATTTTTACAGTTAATCAATAACAAGACAAAATTGCATTTCGACGTAAATTTTCAAATATTGAATGATAAGATTTTTTTCAAATTAATATTTTTGTTGTCTAGAAAAGTACGTAATTTTCCGTCTCCAGATGCTGTTCGACAAAAGTATTTTGCTTTTTCGAATATTTAACCATTTTTGAAATATTAATGAAATATTTTAAAAGACACATTTCCGCTGACATATTTTTTATCTTTGCTGAAAAAATTCAATCATCGACCGAGTAATGGGCCCCGCAACATAGGGAATCAAAATTCACTTAGACACTGTAGAGTTTCGTATTTGTCACTCAATATCTCAAAAATAAGTCTAAAATCCTATTGATATATCTGCTTTTAGGTATGTGGGACTTACTTAATTAGAGAGATACAAAATATGAAAAAAACTGAATGACGTATTTTTTCAGCTAAAGGTCCTTCATCCCCTTAAAAAAAACAAACAGAGTTTAACCTATGATACTGTAAATGTATCATATTTAGCGTGTGCGATATTTGGCGGAAATTGATTTTTGAATAAGTTAGCATAGATTTGATTAAGCGATTGCTGCGTTCCACCAAAGCCGCTGAAATGAATACACAGCCAAATGTAATACGTTTACAGTAGTTTGCAATTAGCATGATTAAGAACTTTGAATGATGCTAATTTTGAAACCAATTTTGAATTGAATTGTTCACGTCATTTTTTGGATTTTATCATATTAAATAGAATAAGTATCCATTTTTTGAGGTAACTTACTTGGATAACATACTTTGTCTTTGTGGTAGTAAGTTGTGTTACAAAGACATTTGCAATTATTACATATAAAATAACTGGAAGCATCACAGGGTATAGTTGCAGTACAATCCTCATTGAACTGTCCATCTGTTAATCAAAAATAATAGATTCCGAATAAATAAATTGTTTTCATTTCTACATAACCTAAACCTAGTTGGATTACAAAAGAAATAATTTAATTATAAATAATAAATACAGATGTTCGTAAAAAGGATTTTAGATTCGCTAACATCAATCGTACTGTTTTAAAAACCATAGAAACATTTTAGAAAGAAAAATCAATCGTGAAACTCAATGAACAGTGAACAAACTTCAACAACTAAAAAAACCCATGTGATCAAAGCATAAGGTAGATCAAGGATAAGCATCCCCGGCGAACTTTATTTGGAATATTTATTTAATTGTTTATGGTTTACTTGCTCAGAATAAAACCTAAAACGACGCGTTTAATCTTTATTCATACATGTAGGAGCAGAGAAACTATAAAGTACTGTAGATTGGCAAATAATCACGAAGGTTTCAATTTCGCTATGTTCGCAATCAATCATTTTACCGCGAAATTAAACCCATCGTGAATTATTATTAATTGTTAAAAATATTTAAATGTGTGTGCGAAATTTTGGATTAATTTCTTGCAGCGTAAAATTAAAACCATCGCAAATCGGTTTTTTTAGATATCGCGAAATTTTAATATCGTGTATTTAAAAGACTTACGGTGTCTCAAAATACACCCAGAAGAAACATTTTTTTTGTACAGGAACCAAAGCGTTCGGGTAAATGAGACTCCACTGTAAATGTTTTAACATAGTTGTTATTTAAACTACAATATTTACATTCAGTGTAGTTTTCCTTATGAAATCCATTAGAAATCCGTGACGTTCAAATTTCTATAACACACGCGAAACCTTGTCACCGCGCGTTAGAATACACAGTAGGAACTATATGCATTTTCAATACTCTAAGAACACCAAAATGTAAAATGTTTTAATTCAATTTAATAAAAAAATATAACCCTGAAAAATTAACGTAATGTGCTTTAAGAATTAATTTGTCCTTTTTTTCCTCGCAGTGTTTGTTTGCGTAATTTAACGTTGCAACGTCATTTAACGTCATTTGACGTCACAAACGGCTCTTACATCTATTAACCACGGCAGTTTTAAAGAGCGCTAAATTAACATTTAAGATTAGCGAAATAAGCAATTATGAAGAAGGAAAATTAGAGAATATAAATATAAGCATTGAATTCATATTTTTGGCTGTCTTCGGTCCTATAACACACCTGGCCGTGCCGAAAAATTTATCATACCGCGCTAACGCGCGGTATTTCAATTTGTCGGCACGGCCAGGTGTGTTATAGGACCGAAGACAGCCAAAAATATGAATTCAATGCTTAAATAAATTGACATATTTTTTCTTCATAAAACAATAACACGATAACTACATTATAATGTACAAAAATTACATAAAAAAATACCCTGAATACTTACAGAGCACGTTGACAGTGGCTTTATTATTACTAGGATAAGTTCCACCAGGATTACTAGCTGTACATTGATACTGTCCTGCGTCATCTGTTGTCAGGGTGTTTATTGTTAGAGATGGAGTTGATACTGTTCCTCCTGTGTATTTTGAACTATCTACGTTGATGTCTTGAAGATAATTATTAAATCTGTATTTTTTCCACTGTATGTTGTTTACCTCTGGACCTGTCACAGTACATGTAATGGTTACACTTCCTCCATATCTACCAGTAATATCCGGGCCCGTGGAAACAGTCAAGTCATCTTTAAAAACAAAACTAAGTAACATGTTAAGAATAGAAATGTCTTTAATATATTATATTTAACATTTTAGATACATGCAATGGGTAAATCAGATATTAAACTAATATTTTTTAGGAATACCAGTTAATTCTTTAATCACCGTGTACAATTCATGCAATGCAGATCGCTAAACAAGAATAAGTTTATATATTCCACATGAAAAATTTTCACAAGTTTGGTCAGATGTAACTTCTTATCAACTCAACATAGATTATTTTGACCCCCCCCCCCCCCCCGCTTCCCATATGAATATAATGACATTGTCCATGTTTTGCTATCGGAAACCCAAAATATATATCGGATCAAAAAGTAAAATAGGCGGTGCACAATGGCAATATGTACTAGTAATTAAGTTTCTGTGAAAGTTTCATCAAATTTCATTCAATGGTTAGAGAGGAGTTGAGGATACGAGATGGGTACCCCAAAGCGTAACAGACGGACATCCCGATTACAATATAGCTTTATTTAAATCTTTGATCGTCCATTATGACCCTACACTATCTCCATGGGCCATGATTCGGAAAAAAAAATTGAATTTACATTAACTACGGATGCTTCTATATAAATTGTTAAATATTGTGGCCCATGCCTACACGCAAGGATCGTGTTTTTAAACCAGAAGTCCCTGTCGAGACTGTAATTCTACTGGTTCGTACTTATAATAAAGAAAGAAAAAAAAGTAGCAGCTGGGACAGAAAACTTTACAAAAGCAATAAAAAGAATGATGATCCTTGATCAACTCTCTTTTTGTGGCAAGATTGCAATAAGACTACAACTGTAGGAGTAGCTTTAAATAAAATTTTACAGAATTTTCAATTTTAGTTATCATGGCAACATTATTCATCAAAATCAAAAACACAAAACTGATAATTATATATCTCGATGTAGTCTAATTGCATGTCAAAGTATATTATTATCAGAAGGATATGGGGATAACGAACAATACTATATAAGAAGATTGCTATCACTTACTGTGTCTTTGGCTAATATCAATTGCCATGAGTCCTTATAACCACATATCGACCTACACTGAAGTCCACAATTGTAGAATATAATATAAAAAGAATATTTTTGTAATTTTCATTGGCTGAATGTTCGTCATGTGATATTCCTCATTTTGTGAGTCGACACGAAATTGCGATCGCGGAAAATGTATCACATGACACACCGTTGGGTTTCACCAAAGTTACGTAGAGCGTGACGTCATAATTTAGGAAGCATGATTTAACCATTGTGACGTAATGACAGCCGAGTCTGTTCAGTTAGGACTGTATCAGTGCATTCACTTTGACAAGCTACCATGCAGAGTTGTCGTTCGTTCCTCTCTCAGACCCATCTGCAATGGGATCACGTCAATATTTTTGACATAACGTATAAAACGTTATATTTTCAGGATTGTTTAAAATTAAATTAATATTTCTGGATTGATTCAGTAAATATCTATCTCAAAACTAAGACATAAGCATAGAAATTGGATTATTTAAGAAATGAATAACAGTTTATAAACTTCAAAGGGAATTGAAGTGGGTCGGTCACGTGATCAAATCCTGTGAAGGCCGAAGGCCTTCTCAGAAGATTTGATCACGTACCGACCCACTTCAATTCCCAGTGAAGTTTATAAACTTGTTATTTATTACTTATATATACTTTTGAGACAGACAATTGAATATTTTCGATTTTAAACTATTGCACTAACCGTCCGTCGTAGATTTAGAAAAATGACGCAAGGTGTAAATCGGCTTGCATGGCGTTTACCCTTCAAATTAATTAGGCTAAGGAATCTATTTCGAAAGGAATATTTTGTGAAAGCCTACTTGTGATCAGTAATAGTGAACAGATTGTTGTCTGGAAATATTTTTATTCGTGAAAAAATGATATCCGATGCTGAAAAGACACAAGAAACACGTCCGAAGTTTGATGATAAAAAGTTGGAGGAATTTCGGTCGCCGGAAAGGGATGGATGGATCCGATGAATTGAGACACTTGTCCGAGCCAGTTAATTTGCAATTTGATCAAAAACATTCTACGGTTTCGGTAACTAAAGGCATACTTATCGTAAAACACTGATAAACACGGAGACAATAGCGACAGCTTTACACATGTTACATTGAACTTCGAAAACGCCGAGGTGTTTGGCAGCTGTTCATGGCATGATTGCAAAGATATTTTCCAACAGATTTACACATTTATCGTGAGTAAAATTTAAAAATAAAATAAAAGTTTATCATGAAAACTTAACCAAAGGTCTACCCCCCAAAAAAAGGATGGACGTTAGAGACTGTGTAGCTGACAAAAGTGAAGAAAACTGTAAACAAACGTTAGGCTCCTAGTTTTCTCTATGTACTCAGGTTGAATCGATAGCCCAAAACTGTATAAAATACTTGTTTACATTTTAAATAAAATAATTATCATTTTACTAGCTTATTTTGTTCATTTTTATACATGAAAAGCAAGTAGGACAGGTCATTTTATAATTCATTTTAAAAATTATGTACCGGTAGATATTATTGCGCCGTGTGATTAGGTCAGTATTGACTTCTGACCTCTGACAAACTTCATACAGAATTGAAGATATTTTCTCTCTGTATGTTTATATAATGGAGAGATACCACAAATGTATATATTATGAATTAAAACAAATGCACTAATCCTCGTGTTTATCACTGTGATATACGCAAGCCAACGACAGAGGTGAATGTATGAGCCAATGGTAGAGAGTGTCACTTTGAATTATTATATAATAATCACAACAAGTTTGTCAACAAATTTCCTGAGTTATACACATTGTTTTCAGTATTTACAGACGATATGAATTTTTTGCAATCTTGGTATAGTTTATGGAAGCTCCATGCGGCTGGATTTCAAGTTGCCTATGTAAAGATAAAGGCAACAAAGGGTTACCGAGCAGTTTCTTTTACCCCCTCCTCCCTTCGAACGTCTTACCCGTTGTCAGAGAGGATCAGGAATGGTTTCCAACCAACCCTGACGATGACGTTAACGCAAAACAGAGTAACTTTACGATCGAGTTATTTGTCCTTCCACCTGTTCAATCGTCACCTCCTGACCACAAAAACCGCTTTTAATACAGTAGACTGTCATAATTATTACATTCACCCCAAAATTGGAAGAAAACAATTGCGCTATCTGGGTTTTTGAGCCGGTCAACATATTTTTTGTTCTTCTCACTGGCGCATGCGCACATCGTTTAACTTATTTTTCGGCGTGGTTACCCATGGCAAATATAGCCAGTGTGCGTTTGAGAGATAAACACTCTGCTGAATTTCATGCAAAGGAGAAATTAGGCTCTGACAGATGCGCGGGCGAGACATTGAAGATAATGAGAGTTTTCGATTTTTTCACATTTGGTAGGAAACTTCATTTGAGTTTCATCCTATCAAAAATAGTACAGTAAACTATAGTTAACAATTGTTTACTATAGTTAACTATAGAACCAAAGTTAAAACTTTGGAACTTTGATTTACTCTCGTGAAAACTTTGGAACTTTGATTAACTATGGTGAAAACTTTGGAACTTTAATTTACTGTAGTAAAAACCTTGGAACTTTGATTTACTGTAGTAAAATATCAAATGAGATTTGGGTTACATTTTCTTTAAATATGATTTTAGTAGTTAGATAGATTTACTGAAAAATAAAAAAAAATTAAAATCTGTTGTATCTTTAACATCCAATGAAAAACCAAACTTTGTAGTTTTTGACAATCGGCTATGTTGCTACTTTGTTCAGTTTAAACTTTGACATTACCAACTGTACAAAGAAATTAAAACAATGGTATTCTTGCTTGCGCAAGTCAAATATATATGTACATGATAATTCTAACATTGCTATAATATTCAAATTGACAGTGACCTAGTCTGCATTGTGTCAGTGTGCACAGAATTCATTGATTTCATATTTACAACAGATGCACATCTTTAATACATATTTGTCTTGATCTGAATTAAAATAGACTTACTTGATTTGCACTCTCCATTATATTCCCCATATCCTGTGTCACACACACACTTTGAGGAGGCACTACACAATCCTCCAGTATAGTCACATATGATGGTGTCATTGCAAATTTGTCCAAGAAAAGCTGCTTCACTTGTGGTGATGACACAAATCCAGGATAATATCTAATTAGATTAAATATTTTATTAACTTATTGATACCTAATATTTGTTTATTGTGATTTAAGCTTTAGAGACATTAATTGTCAATTATCTGTAAGAAACAAAAATAGAAAACATGCTCTTGCATTACGAATTAACCGAGAGACATTAACCACATAAGCAGACAAATTGTTACTTAGGATAACTTATCTTTAAAAACTACATGGAGTTTGTCAACCAGAAACAATTCAAGCATTTCTATTTAATATCAAATTAAAAGTATGCCTGTGTGTATAGTCAAAATGTAATATTTAGGAGTTCTGATTCTTTTTTAACTGTCTATGAGATCAAAGACCCTTAACTTCAATTTATCGTATGTAAAGTTGTATCATTATAAATTGGATGTAATGGATTTTAGTAATTTTTTTAATTAAAAAATCCTTTAGTTATCTAGTTAGCTTTTTGAATGGAGATCCGGGTTGCAGGTTCGATTCTCGTTCCCGGTGCCACGACAAACCTAAGACGTTAAAATTGGTAGTGACTGTTCCTTCACTAAGCGCTCGGCATCAGAAGTGAAGGTCACGGGTCTTTCGGATATAACCTTAAAAACGTAGGTCCCGTGTCACGGTAGGCGCTGGCACGATAAAGAACCCTCACTGCTCAATGGCCCTGAGTGCCGAATATAGGTCTTAATTTGAAGCCCTTCACCGGCATCCAGTGACGTCTCCATATGAGTGAAAACTCTAAAGAGGGACGTTAAACAATATACAATAAATCACTCAATCAAGCTCAAACTTTCATGAAAAAATACAAGATTGGAGCAGAGCGAACACGAACCTCCAGACATCAGAGCTTGGATCAGATGCCATAGAGGAGTGAGCATTCTCTGTTGACCAGTAATTCCTGCCGTGTGCTCCTTATCATGATCGGGAAATAAAGGAGAAATCCTTTGAAAATTTAGTGTGTAAATTATGGCCTAACAACTAGTATGGAATACGTCCGACAGAATTTGATTAAACTTTCATAAAAGTTACAAAGTGATGACTTTAAAGGAGACTGCTGTTTTCTTGTTTCAGCGAATTTGTTTGTCAATAATATGCCTCCTTTTTAGAAAATGTCCATACCTAGAATATGCTCTTTATGTATCAAATCTATTGAGCGATGTAAACTACATTTGCAGGTAATGATGGTACATTTCTGTATAAGTAAGGAAAGTTGAAGGTTTAAAAGTTACTCATCACGTTTTTTATAGAGCTTTGTTGTTGGATTACCTTTAACTTCCTTTTCAGTAAAAATATCCGCAACTGAAACAGATGTGTCAGACTCTGTGGTATTGTTTCAAGCTCAACAGAATATATCGTATAGACATAAGAATGGAAATTGCCATTGTAAAATTGACAATACGTAGTCGATATAAGTATATCTAAATGTCGAGATAAAGGCAAGTGTTTTCCTTTTTTCATGATAACATCTTGGACAAATTCTGCTTCATTTGTATGCAAAAATAGATCTGCTAATAACGGGCGCAATTAATATCGTTGGAAATTCCAATAGATTGTTTGAAGACCTGGTCTCAAAAAAATGCATAGATTTTCTCAATCAGTAGCAAAAGCATCTTTTAAATATCAATTTTGGTGTTGTTGTCTGTGCAATTAGAATATTTTAATCAAATTATTTTGCATATGACTAATGACAAGTTCAGTTAATTTACGAGTTTCAGCTTTATCGAAAAAGAGGATATCAAAACACACTGTGGGCCTAACGACAAAACTCCATAAACCTGCCTCTGAAGTCAAATTTCTCAAAATTTCTCGGTAGAAACTTTGGCATCTTCGCTATCCTTTTTCTTAGGTGAAAAAGTTTACCATATTTTGCATAATTTTGGCTTGCATTTCACTCATTTGAGTAATGTAGCTGTTGAAAAGATGAATTCTTTGAATGAAATAAGTATATTCTGTATCCCTCTATCTGAACATCCTTGTCATGAAGAACATGTGAAAACGTCAATGTAACGAATATTGTAGCAGCTCTGCATTTCCCTGTTTTAATGTAGGGCGTAGGACCATTGCATTCTTATTTCAGAAGTCATTGCGCAAACAGAAAAGGATCTTATATAAGCAGGATATTTATTTTTCTAGATATGGGGAAATTGACATTAACTGGATGTGAATTGCAGGTTTAAATGTCAATGTTTTATTAAATGGATGATAGTGTATATCAAAATATTTCATTTTTATTTATATCTAAATCAAACATTTAAGTAAACCGTATAGTAGTTTCGAGAGGAGTGTTTGCTTCCTGTTTTGCATATCATTGAAATAAAAAAAAAATACATATGTATAGAACGTGCTGAATATTGTTAAGAGGTAACTAACTAAAAGCTGAATTTGCACATTTAATCGTATTTCATATCTTCATAATTTTGGCTTTTCTTAAAGTCTTTAATCCATTGATGTCTTGTCATATGAAAGCATGAATTCTTTTAATAATTCAATTTTTGATGCAAACATGTTCTTTTATGCAAATGCACCTGCCACATAATTTCTTCCTTTTTCTTTATATTTTAGAGATATATTTATCGGTATATTTACCTATATATGGATAGGATAAAGGCTAGGCATTCATTTTTTTCTTATCAGTAATGTTGACGTGTTTTCAATAAAATTTTCACAAGATAAGGGGGGTTACACAATCCATACGTCAGGAATTTGTGCTTTTCAATATTCTTCAATC